TTTTAGTAGCTGATATAACTTAAGACATATTTACTTCGGATAAGAGGCATTAATTGCCTACCACGTAGCTCCTACGAAAAATGGATCGCAAAACGCAAAATGATCGGGCTTTTTAACACTTATTTATCTACATGGACATCTCACCAATCTTTTTGAACACTTTCCACAACTTTACACCATGTATTTTTTATCCAATTATTCCTCAAAGTAAGCACTACTGGCAAATCTGTTTGAAAGTGATGTGGCATGCGCACGCGTGACGTCACCGGTATTGTATATACATGCACCATAGCTGCCATGTGTGTTTTGCGTACATATTCGGGTAACATCACGCGTGTGCACGCCACATCATTTCAAAATGAATTGCCAGTAGTGCTTACTTTGAGGAATAAATGGATAAATGCATGGTGTAAAGTTGTGGAAAGTGTTCAAAAAGATAGGTGAGATGTCCATGTAGATAAATAAGTGTTAAAAAGCCTGATCATTTTGCAATTTGCGATCCATTTTTCGTGGGAGCTTTTGGTAACAGGTTGCAGTTGCGAAATCTAGCATAAAATGTTCTATTGTAGCAACGCTAATATCATTCCGCGAACGCATTTAATACCAGCTCACACATAGGCTGATGTTACGATGTAACCAGCAGCAGAACCTCAGCACAAACATAATCTTACACCACACCAGCTGGCAAGGAGACGGATTTAAATCCGGACACACAAACAACTGGTAAAATTAGTTCCACACGCAATAGATACACACGTAGATAGGCGCAGCTCTGTTACAACCTACACATGTTGGCCCCATCACTGCCTATAGTACGCAGGCCCGTAGCCAGCTTTCTATTGGGGGGGGTTCGTTTTTCAATGTTGGCCAATTTGCTCGGCAGGGGGGTGAGCAGGATGTCTGTACTAGGGGGTCTAACCGTAACCCATAGTGGCGAGCACGCGAAGGCGGGTCTGGGCCCTCCCGCCAGAAATTTTTTAATTACACCCCCTCAAGAGCGTTTTCTGCGCGAGCAAGGGGGGTTCCGGACTCCGGACCCCCCTGTATCACGCCCCTAGCTCGGCGCGCAAGCGACCAGGCGAGGAGCCAAGCAGAGCCGGAGCGCGGAGGGTGTGGGAGGGGGTGTTCACGTGTTCACCCTCGCGCACGATGGAGATTTTGGCAATTATTACACTAAAATGGGGGGGCGACCTGAGGTGAAATCTTGCAAATTTTCAACAAAAATTTTTTTTGGCTTGGGGGGGGAGGGGCTGCGGGGGGTCGTTCGAACCCCCGAACCCCCCGCTGGCTACGGCCTGGTACGGATCACTTTCACGAATAACAGCTTAGACACACACGCTTAGGGCGCGCATGCACAACATTAGTTCTTTGGTTAGCTGTCGCAAGGAACACACATACACATTAGCACACGTTGTTTTAAACAGGCTACTAAACAGCTGTCTCCACTGACCACACACACAATTAGCGTCATCAACTGTCTATAGTGCGGGTTAGCCTAGGCAAACATAATACTTTATAAACACATTTATGATACACACATAAGGGGCCGCCGACACTGCCCGAGTGCGGTCGAATGTGCGGGCCAGTAAAATAACACACATTAGCGCTAAAGCTTATTTCCTACACAGGCTGTTAAAGTATTTAATTACAGTAAACGATCAAACCAAGCATACCGTCATACGTCATACTGTCATGGCCACCTATGAAGGCACCCACGTGGCCTGAGCGGGGAACGGAGGGCGTAAAACCCATCTCGCACTCATACTCGCCATTGGCCATCTACTCTAATCCGCACTCCACAAACGAACAGACAATAATTCCACGCCCCCTACTATCCCGCTGTAGTAGCAGGTGATAGGGCGAAAACATATTTGGTAAGAGTTTCACGGCTAGGGATATTAAAGAGAGGATAATAAGAGAGCTCGCAAACGGAAGAAACGAAGCTCTCTGCAACCCACACCTCTGTTTGTGTAAGTGATTATACTGTGTAATTGTGAAACCCGTATTCTATCACTGTGTTACTTGCTTGAATTTTGTAAGTATGCAATAGTGAAACGCAGTTTGAAAATCCACATCCTTTGCTAACTCTTATTTTATTAATGTATTCGTAATTAGTCAAGCCAATACACGGCGCGCGAGCAGCACGCAAGCTACGCGCGCACAGTTGTCTGGCAACAGAATTAAACCAGCGATACACTTATAGACATGCGGCAGTCTACGACGCGGGCTATAGTAGTAGAGCTATAGTTACTAGCAGGACGTGGATATTCGTCCAGAAGGCACTCGACCACAACCGAGCTGTTGTATGCGCTATGCGTCGCGAGGCAGTTGTTGCGGCAGCACAGCACGACACACACGCGCATGTTACATGTTGCATTACATAATGTAATATAATGCAGCTCTAGAGTCACCTACTCTCTAACCATAACCCCACCCTAAGGCACAAACTATAAACCAACTTGGGCTCTCTATATACCGAGTCATAGCTACCCAAACACCATCTTATGGGTATAACCAGCTATGCATGTGTGCAGGGCGTCCACACGCCTAAGGGGCCGCAAACATTTCAAAAATCGCCGCTCGATACTGGATTTTATAACAACGCATCTAGACTTTCCACAATTATTTACTCACACACATCTATAAAGGAGGCAAAGAAGTAAAATACGCCTCCAAACTCTTCCAACTTATTCTACCCTGGCACTCAGTGAACATCAAACAGCCAATGCGGCATGGCAACACCAGAACCACAAAAGCCGCCACGCACAAAAACTATAAGACAGAATAACACACACAGCATCCACAAGACACTACAACAAAAGATGCTGTCATATATCCGGAGTAATATGCTACCGGCAATCCATAGATAATGGGCTAATGGGAAGTACACGATTAGGCTAATTGCTTTTCCTAACGTAATAATGCCAACGGATTTTTCACAATGTCCTTTACGGGGCGTGGTCCGTGCATTAATAGAAAGTGTATGACGTCATTGTGTGCAACGCTGCGGCATAATGAGACGTAGCAGTGTCAGTTATATAGTATGTTTGTTTTAATGCTGCCTAGCGTGTTTACCAGCAGCGCGCCTTCTGAGCGAGGTTCCCTCTCGATAGCTATCACAGTCAGAACACACATAAACACATTACAAACATACACACGACCAATAAATGCCATACTCGAATAACCACCTACATACACATAGTAGTGAGTATAGGTCAGTAGCATATCCGCCGGTACATTGAACGCCGGCAGGGCTATACACATTGTCGGCTGGAATACCGAACTGGAACTTGCACCACCTTCCCCACCCGAAAATGGATCGCCAAGCCAAAAATTATCCACGGGCTTTTTAACACTTATGCTATCTACGGACATGCTCAACGCTACTTTATCTGCACACTTTACACAACTTTACACCATGTATTTATCGCTTTTTATTCCACAAAGTAAGCACTACTGAATTCCCCGTTGATTCTGGCCGTGCGACGCGTGGCGTCACGGTATTTGAATATACATGCATGTGTTGGCCTAACAGATCCGGTGCATTTATATATACCATACCGGTGACCGTTCAACCGTACGCACGCCAGGAAATATCAAAACCGGGAGATTTCCAG